AGCCAGTCTAAGAGATTTTGGTGCCTGAATTGAAAAAGAAGCCTCCACTCCCCATAGGGGGAGGTTGTGGTGACAGAAACAGTGAATCCACTCTCACTTTTAGTATGAACTTCATGGGAACTATTTCATGGTGCTTAGCTCTGCCCCTAAAACACATTCAGCACCTTGGACAGCGCATGTAAAAGCACAGGCTGAAACTCAGAATGGATTCTCCTTCCCAGGCTTGACATCATGCCCAGCATCAGAATATGGAAGGGTAATTTAAGAGTCCACAGCAGCGGTTGCAGGTTACTTGGCTATTGTGAAATAGGTCATGGCTGGAAAAAGGTTGGGAACCAATGGCATAGTGGCTCAGTTTAAGAGACCCGTCAGCTATGCGGTGTGATCCCTTGCAACTGTTGCTTGGCCATGAAAACGTACTGGGATATGGCAATGGTGAACCACTCCTTAAACATCTCCCATACTTTGAAAGCCCCTTTAGGGTCTCCCTACGTCGGAAACAACTTGACAACACCGAACAAAAGGAGCAGATCAGTCAATAACAATAATTCACATTTTAAAAACAAACAAACAAATGGAGGCAGGAAGGGGCTTATGAAACTACATATTTTTGCACACTCTACCATGCACTCAGTAAAAAAAAATCAGGCACAGTCAAATGTTCTTTCAATGTGCAGTTCCCACAAATGATCTCTTTAGTCTGATTCATTCAATTAAGACGTTTCTCCTGATTGTATTCTGTGGGGCACTTCAGGTTGCAATCAACCTCCTGGAGTTTAAAATGCACAGTTTTTGTCTTAAAATCAGTTGGGATGGGGAAAGCGAGAGGAGGGGAAAAAAGCTTTCTTCTGCTCACCATGTGTGTGTGTATTTCATTTCAAATTTCTCCTTCCTTCCTTCCTTCCTTCCTTCCTTCCTTCCACTTCTAAATCATTGATTTGGGTTGGGGTGGCTCATATACCTTCCTGAGAAAGGAAACAATACATTTCAGCAGGTTCTAATTGCATGTTTGGTACATGACCGAGTGCCCTGAGTGCCCCTTTGTGCTCTAGGTTTCTCATCATCATTGGTATTAAATGTCATTGTATTCCCACTGAGAAAAACCATGATGTTACTTTAAAAAAAAAAGGACATAGGAAAGCCATTCAGTATAATAGCAACCTTCCTGCGCTTAAATACTTTTCTCTTTCTTGTCTCGTTGCCTTTATCTAGAACTGCCGATACAAATTTCCAAGCCGGCGATCTTCAGTGAAAATATGCACTATCCGTTGCTTCTGGTTGTGTGAGTAGCATCAACAGTTGCCATATTTTATGGGCATTTCCAAAACCCCGCTTTGCTGGTTGTTCAGAAAAACATCCCCTCCTCAGAATGAGTTTCCACTGAGCATTGGTCTGGAAGGAGCAATCAGAGAAAGACTGAGAGGTGGCGCCCAGTTGTAGAGTGGGAGTGGGGCAGGATGCAATATTTTCCTTTGGGTTGCCAGTCATCCTTTGCAGGAAAGCTGTTGTTCTCCTTTGTTCTGTTCTTGAGCAAGCTAGTGGAGAGCATGGTGGCCAATCTGGTTCAGGCACTCCCGGGGGAGACCATTGCCCTCGATCTGGTCCAGTCCAGGTTGAGGCTGTGTCATGGCACAGAGATGGCATTGACAGCCCTGTTAGGTGACCTTCTGAGGGAGTCCGACAGGGGCAAGATGTCACTGCTGGTCCTCCTCAATCTCTCAGTGGCGTTTCATACCATCGATCATGGTATCCTCCTAGAAAGGCTCTCTGGGTTGGGGATCAGTGGCCTGGCTCTGTCCTGCCTCTGATCCTTCCTAGAGAACCATCCTCAGAGAGTGCAGCTCGAGGAGATGATGTCCACACCTTGGACCCTTAATTGTGGAGTCCTACAGGGGTCGATCATCTCCCCTTTATGGTCCTTGCGGCCTTTTTCCACCTGAAGTGGATCACCCAGCTGTGTCCCTACCTTGACACTGGGTCCCTCACTATGCTGGTCCACACACTGGTATTCTTCAGATTAGACTACTGTAATGCCCTTTATGTGGGGCTACCCATGAGGCTCCTAAGGAAAGTCCAGCAGGTCCAGAATATGGCAGCCAGATTTTGAGTGAAGAAATACCAACATACAGTGTTTCCCTTGCATTGGCTGCCTTGCACTGGCTACCTGTTCATTTCCATGGCAGCTTCCAGTGATGACTTTGACATACAAAGCCCTAAACGGTTGGGACCTCAATACCTGACAGAAAACGTCCTTCAACTGAGATCTACCTGACCCACTCAGTATTCCCAAGCGGGGCAGCTGAGATAATTGACCCTGAGACAGGCCTAGAAAAAGAAGACTAGAAGCTGAGCTTTCTCAGTGGTCACCTCACACGTCTGGAACAACCTCCTGCTTAAAATCTGCCTGGCCCCTTCACTGGAAATCTTAACGATCCCTCAAGACATGGCTCTTCAGACAGGGTTTTCCTGAGATTATATCATGATAATGCAGTGCTAGTCTCAGCGTTTATTTTTGCTCCACCATCTTGCCTTCCAAATTAGTGGTTTTTATGTTTATATTGATGTTGTTTTGGTTATTTGTGATTGTATACTGAAATTGTGATTTTGATCTTTGTATAACCATTATGGTTGATTTTTTTAAAAAGTGTCATTGTTTTATTGCATTGTAAACTGCCCAGAGTGGCCTTGCAACCAGATGGGCAGTGTAAAAGCCAAATGAATGAATGAATGAATGAATGAATGAATGAATGAATGAATGAATGAATGAATGAATGTGAAGGGGCATTTTTTAAAAAATGGAATTCCTGTCTAACTAGTGCAGCTTATTCTGGGACCTCCTTATTTTCCTGAAAGTATAAAATAGAGATAGACATTAGAGAAAATCTGTCATTAAAACAGAGAATTCCTCAGTGGCTGGAAGCCTCTCAGTGCATAGCATGCAATTTGGAAATCTGCTTCTGCTTGATTTGTGTTGTGATTGGCCTTCAGGACTTAAAAATGGCACTCCTTTGAGATCTCAAACATTGAAATCTACTTGAAAAGAAACAGATGTGAAAACGTGTGTGTGTGTGTGTTTTGCTTTCCAACCAAAAGAGAGATAGATGACATGGCTCAAGTGTTCCAAAGTGTCACCCTGGAGCTTGCTAGGAGGGCAGAAGCTCAGCCATGGAGCTTGCGGTTAAAATCAGAACGAACTCCTGGGAAATGTGCTTCATTATACAAGTGCTTGAGGAAGATCACTGCTCATCAAGCTAACAGCACTTGATTAGACTGTCTCCGGAGGAGGCGGTACTGCTGGGATGCGCATTGAATAAACATAAATCACACATCCGGGCAAGGAAAACATACACACACAACCTGGAAGTAGCTTCTTGTAGCACATGAACTGCCTGAAGGAATCATTGCAGGGTGAGGATGTGGGGCCACAGTGTCTTTGAGTGTTTTATTTTCTCTTTGCAATCTAATCTAGGCCATTTGGGGTTCTTTCCTGGAAAAAAATGTGCTTATTTCTTGGCTGAAAAAAGGGGCTCACGTAGGTCATTTGGCTGCCTAAGGCAGAGCCCCAAGTGTTGTGTGTTCACGCAACCCTGCCAACCTTCAGAAACCAACTGGGCTTGGCCACTGACTCTTACTGCAGCCCCGCCACTGAGGAGGCAACCCTTCATTGTCTCTGAAGGCAGGAGGCACGTTTTGGTGGTCCCAACGCGGCTGGAGGGAAACATGCAACGGTGTGTTCAGATATGCCAGCAACCCAGCGAAATTGCCCCTCATGCCCTAAAGGAGGGCACAAGAGGATGTTTTTTTTAAGCAAAGAAAGATGAAATAATTTTTTTTAAAAAAAAAATGGGTGTAGGCGTCAGGGAGGCAAACGAGGCCACCACAGGCACTGTAATCGCATGATCCGCAGTGCCTGGAAGCTGGATGCACTGTTGGCTTACCTGAAATTACAGTGGGACACACCGAAAATACCTGTTTTTTCTACACTATCCGCCACAGCATAGGGACTAGCCAATGCTATGTCCCATGCCTGCCACCAAATTGCTCAAGCTCGACAAGCAGGCCCCTTTTATGTTGTAGCGTTCACCCTTTGTTAGGTAATCAGTCATGTGTTATTCATGTTCTATGCTAATGTGGTTGAGAGGTGGAGCTGTGAGAGATGTTAAAAAGGTGGATGCTGAGAGAGGAGTCAGTCAGTTAGAGAGTCTGAGTCAGAATTGGGAATCAGAGAGAGAGAGAGAGAGTTTGGGGATCTGAGGAGTGATTAGTCTGAGGAGTAATATTAGTAACCTGTGATATTTAATATAGAAGATTAATATTGATGCTTGGTGAAACTGAAAGAATATGCTGATGAACGATTCTAGAAACCGTCCGTAATCAATAAACCTGTTCTATTAAAAAGTCAGTACTGGATGGACCTTCGTCTTTGCTGAGGAAAATAAGTTGATGACGAGATCAACTGGTGGCAGCGTGTCGAGAGGTTGTTACTTTGCCTTTGTGAGCTCTCTTATTTGGGGGGACAAACGGGGGCCACGAGGGCGAGCGTCACAGTGCTCCACCAGTCAGCTGCGCTAAAGGAGGGCACAAGAGGATGTTTTTTTTAAGCAAAGAAAGATGAAATAATTTTTTTTAAAAAAAAAATGGGTGTAGGCGTCAGGGAGGCAAACGAGGTGGTGCCAAAGGGTGCAGGCTAGGCTTACTTCATGGCCTTGGTGACCTTGAAAGCCATGAATAGTCTGGCTTTAGGAGTGGATTCTCCCAAGAAAAGGCCAACCAGCAGGGGAGGGAAACTCCTTTCTCCCCCCCCCACCCCTCGGCCGTTCCTTGGGAGCAGCCAGGGGGCCGGCGAAGTGTGTGCTTGTAGCTTTCACCCTTGTTACACAATAAGTTATGTATTATTCATGAGTTGTATGCTAATGTGGTTGAGAGGTGGGGCCGCAAGAGATGTTAAAAGGCATAGCCTGAGAGAGGAGGACCTAAGTCAGTCAGAGTCTGAGTCAGAGTTTGGAATCAGAGAGAGAGAGTTTGGGGATCTGAGGAGTGATTAGTCTGAGGAGTAATATTAGTAACCTGTGATATTTAATATAGAAGATTAATATTGATGCTTGGTGAAACTGAAAGAATATGCTGATGAACGATTCTAGAAACCGTCCGTAATCAATAAACCTGTTCTATTAAAAAGTCAGTACTGGATGGACCTTCGTCTTTGCTGAGGAAAATAAGTTGATGACGAGATCAACTGGTGGCAGCGTGTCGAGAGGTTGTTACTTTGCCTTTGTGAGCTCTGTTATTTGGGGTAACAAACGGAGGCCACGAGGGTGAACGTCACAGTGCTCCACCAGTCAACTGCAGTCCCTTCCCTTCCCTGCACATTTCCAAAAGGATGAGACGCTGTTGTGGTTTCTTGTTGTTTCAGGGATGGCACTCCTGGGACACAGAGTGTAACTGAGAAGTTTGAAGTCAACTGGGAAAGTGTCCTCATCAGCTCCCATGGCGCCATTGTGATGAAGTTTGACGGACGTGGAAGTGGATTTCGAGGGACCAAGCTGTTGCACGACATTGAAAGAAAGCTGGGCTTCACTGAAGAGAAGGACCAAACAGACGCTGTCCGGTGAATGGCACAGTCCTTTTTTGGAATTCAGTTCTGTTTACATCTGTCTCCTTTAAGCTTTTTCAAATGTTTGACACTCCCTTTTTCATTGTTCAGAAAGCCTCGAGCCTTCCCATCTCTCTTTTCCCATTATCCTCTTTTAATCCATTAGTAATTCAATTAATATTTTGAAACAAATCAATAAACAGTCTAATAAAATGGAAAAGAAACAGAAAAATGTAATTTAAAAAGTAAGCACAAACAGGTTTGCTTTCTAAATTCGATTAAGGCGGTTGATACTGGAGGTTTATTAAACCTGATAAAAATTATTTTCAAGAAAAATGAAAAGCTCACTTTGGAATTTCTTCACATACCATTCGGCATGCGCACATGTGCACGCACACACAAACACACACAGAGAAAGAGAGACCAGCTTGGGAACCAATGCTTTAAAATAAGTTTTGTAATGATTTGTTAAAAGACAAAACTATTTGTCCAGTTCGATTAGAAGAGTGGGAATACTACAGAATGGCAGATGTTTCTGAGGCTTAAGCAAGCTTCCTGGTGTCTTCTAGGTATTCAGGACTACAAAGCCATCATCCTCAGCTGGCATGACTGGTTATGGGTAATCGAAGATAGTCCAACACATCTGGAAGGTGCTGGATTGGGGAAGGCACAGCTCAAGCCAACAAGCAACCTCTGCCTTCTGCAGCTGACGATTCCCGGAGGGTGGGTGGGGGTGTCAAGATCTGGCCAGCTCAAATGTTAAAGCCTGTTAGTTGCCATATTTAACACCACCTCTCACTTTAAGATAATCAAGTCTTCTCTGTTTTTCTTTTTCTTTTTTAGCGCCATACTCCAAAAGTCATTTATCGATAGGTCTCGAGTCGCTGTGTTTGGAAAGGTGAGCCTCGCTGCAATCCGTTCTTGGTGACTTCAGAATTTAGACCTGTATTTTGATGGATTGATGGTGTCTTTATTGCAGTTTCTCTTTTTTAATATGTGTCTACTGCTCCTTGATTCTGAGAATGGGAGCCTTGATGTTTTTAAAAGTCACTGACCAGCATTTTCCTGTAAATCCTGCCTTGCGAGAGGAGAATGCCAGCTGTTTTCGAGAAAATGCTTGAAAGGATTCTCCATCTTCTCTCTCTCTCTCTTTTTTTCAGATGCTCATAGCCAGCTAATATTTATTTTCCCTTTGAGATGCGAGAAGGAGTAGACTCAAACCTGCGAAGCTTTTTGTGAGCTGCGTTTTAGAGAATGCTCCTCTGAAGCTCAGTAAAAACTGTGCTACTTATATACACCACCTCTCCCATAGTTCCTAAAGCATTCTCTGGGCAGTTTACAATTTTAATTATGCAAGGTACACATTGCCTCCTCGCAGCAAGCTGGGTATTCAATTTACCGACCATGGAAGGATGAAAAGTTCTCTGAAGCTCAGTAAAAACTGTGCTACTTATATACACCACCTCTCCCATAGTTCCTAAAGCATTCTCTGGGCAGTTTACAATTTTAATTATGCAAGCTACACATTGCCTCCTCACAGCAAGCTGGGTATTCAATTTACCAACCCTGGAAGGATGAAAGGTTGAGTTAACCTCAAGCCGGCTATCTGGGATTGAACCCGGGTTGTGAGCAGTGTTGCAGTTCAACCACTGTGCCGTGAGGCACCTAGTATAATGCAAATACAGCATCAGCTGAAACATATATAGACCCTCTTCATGCCATATTTGCAGCATCTGGAACTCCAGACCTCCCATGTCCCTCTGGGTTAAAAATGGATCAGAGTTGTTCGGAAAACAAAATGATCTACTTTTGCTCTGTGAAAGCCCTAAAAACAACCAGATGTAGAATTCTGGAAAGCAGAAGTGGCTGATTTTTAGATCACATTTTTTTTCTGGTGTCTAAGGTGGCCCATGGTGGGCTCTACGGGTGGAAGATCCACCCCCCCCAGATGGTGCAGAGGTGCCCGCCCCTGCATTGAGGCAAAGATGCACAACCTGTGGCCCTCACCCTATGTTCACAGGTCCCTTCCCCCAGCAACAATTGGTTCAGTCTTTCAGTTGTGGGGGATGTGAGATGGAGGCTACAGTTGAACTCCTACGCTTCCTTTCCATGGCCAATTTTTTCAAAGCTCCATCTTGAATAACCATTAAAATGTCCCTCATTGAGAGACTGATTTTTTTTTTTTTGCCATGAATCAGAGACATGGTGGAGCTGGCTCAGAATAAGGCGCATTCACAGACCTTGCAGTTTCTTCGCTGAATGTGCACCTTGAGGCAGAAAGACAGTTACCCATCTGAGAAACAGGAACCGTGTGCAGAGTTGAGCACACCCTTATCTCCTCCTCGAGACATAGTTACCAAGGTGTGCATTATTCTGGTGGCAGCCCCAAAAAGACACAGTCATTGGCTCTGGGCTCGACAAACATTGATTCAGGGAACAAAAGAATCCTGGGTTATGCTAATCAAACATTTGCATGCTTAAGCCTAGTCTGATTCCATTACTGCGAAGTGATTCTGTCTCTGAATTTGGTAACATGACCTTTTTATCTAGCAAGCACAAGACATTAGGAACCTTTACAGTTGTCCAGAGAGCCTTAAATCTCTTGCCAGGTGGCTCGCAAGCTGATCGGCCAGGGACAGGCATGGGGGTTTGGCAGGTTCAGCCTTCAGAGCTCCCTTCTTGTATGCAGAATGGCAACACACCGTAATGCCGAAATCGTCCTGTAGAAGCCTTCCCTTACAGGTGCCTCCTGCCATATCTGTATCTCATGCTCATTAGGAAGCATACTGTAACAAGAGAGCATCCATTTCCAAAGTCACCACACCATCCTGCCTTAGCAGCCTTCATCGGACTGTTTTCTCCCTTGGGCTCCCCACAGGATTATGGCGGCTACTTGAGCTCTTACATCCTTCTTTCTGGAGAAGACAGCAAGGAGAAACCCCTCTTCCAGTGTGGTGCTGCTCTCTCACCCCTGACGGACTTCCGATTATATGGTAAGTGCCCATCCACGCCTAATAATACAGAGGTATATTTTCTGCACTTTAGTGGCTGCACTGGGCAATTGCCAATATTGCAGCTAAGATTTTTTCCCCCTGTTTTTTTTTCCCCTGGAAGCAAATTTCTAACCCTTACAGTCACAAAGATTCTCTCTGAAGTGCTTGGACAATGTGTGTGGAATTTAAGAGTCTGGAGGCGGAGGCGGAGGCTTGGGGGAAGGTTGTCTCCATGCCCCTTTATGAGCCACAGAAGCAAAATCAATTAGCAAAGCCATTACAAAACAAGAACAAGCTTGCAAATAAAGCGTGCTGCTTATGTACCATCCCACAGTGCTTAAAGCTCTCTCTCGGTGGTGTACAGTTGAATTCACACCAGTGAGTTGGGTGCTCAATTGGAAGGATGGGAGGTTGAGTCAACTTCGAGCTGGCTACCTGAGAACCAGGATCGAAGGCAAGTCTGCAGTTTAACCGCTGTGTAATGGGACGACTTCTTGCGTCACAAGGCTACCTCATATTTATAATCATATTCATGTTTTACCATGTCCAACGCGATGCCTTCTGTTCATTTATTTCAAGGATTTCGATGACACACTCCAACATATGTAGATCTCAGTAACAATAAAAGTAACCATAAGGAACAGGAAAACCATGCAATAATTAAAACAGCCTTAGTAGGCAAAAACTGGGAAAGGAAACAGGTTAATCCCGTCACTCTAGGCAAAGGGTTCTCCAGCTAGACAGCCAGCTCTTGCTCCATTTGATAACCATGAGATGTGAAGGATCTGACACCTCCTTCATTGAAGACGGGTGCCGTGACTGACACCAAGTGTTGAAAGAGACTTAACATACTTGAACTTTAAATGAGAAATATATTGTTTGCAATCTAGCAGTTAAACCAGAGTTTATGACAGTTATTATTTCTCGGTTTCGTTTATGAGACCTGAGTATTGAGGCCACTTCTAGAACCGAAGCTAACGTTTATTTTCACAGCTCTCCATTAGAGGCTCAGTACTTAGTTCAGGTGGGAGGTTCAATATATCAACATGCCCTCCATGCACAATTTTGCTGTTGAACTGCTCATTAAAAACAGGCCTTTTCTAGAAAGACTCTGCTTTTATTGAGGCTTTCAAGAGCATTCGTAGCCTGTTCTAGAACCTCCCCTTAAAAACAGAGAGTTTAGCCTCGTCTGACCAAACCTCTCAGGCTAAAAATAACCAGCTGCTTTCCTAGCCAAGCCCAGTCTAGGTTGACACATGCCAAAGCCCTAACTGGCTTCTTTATGGACCCAGTCCTTTCTGGCTACTTGGCTAACCCAAACATGTTCTAGACCATTGGACTCTGCATTCTAAGTTTACCCGTGGCTTTGCCTTGATGTAATCGACTGAGAAACCTTCAGGAGGATGAAAAATTTATTTGACCTTTACAGAGGAGAGTGGACATCACAGGATAATTTTGGTACATAAACAGGCTGGCACAGATTATGCATTTCACTTTGGGTCTCCCGAATGCGCCAAAGGTTGAAAAAGCTGCCCTTTTTGGAACTGTAATTTTAACTGATAATTTTTTTAAAATGAAAAAAGCTAAAACCCCAAGCCCTTTGAAGAAGAAGGTTTTTGGTTTTCCTTTCCATAGCTGAAATATTGGTGTCAACTCAGTTATAATACCCCATTTATTACTCTTTATTTCTTTCAGCTTCAGCCTTTTCAGAAAGATACTTGGGATTACAAGGGATTGACAATAAAGCATATGAGGTAATGGCATGGATAACCAGACTGTCAACAGGAGCATCTATTTTTAGCCCAAGTGAAAGACGCAGCTTAGCTTTTTAGTCCTGTACTTTTGAACACAGAAAAAAATGTTGAAACTGGAAGAAGTCAAAATTGCTAGTCTTGAGAGAGAAAGAAAAAGGTGATGGAGGGGGGAGAAGGTGTCGGTTATGTGCTGGCACAGTACAGTATGTTTGTTTGAGTTATTTTGTCTCTCTGTGTAGCAAAACACTCAGATATTGGTGCCTTCATATTAAAACACTGGGGGCTCGGGGAAGGGAAACAAAGTCATAAGAAAGTAAAAACCGAACACAAAAATTGAGTGTCAGCTGGTGGAGGCAAACAAGACAACTTGGCAGCCGCAAAAATATCTCAATAACTGCCCCTTAAAATGTCCAAATGGCATTTGAATCTGAACTGAAGTGGGTACTTGTTGACTTTATTTGGAGAGGTGATTTTGTAAACGAGATGTTGGTACAGACAAGAACTTAGCTGAAGGTGCTACCCATCTCCCGCCAGAAAAAAGGGGCTACCAAAGGGTGCCTCTCCAGACAGTCTCAACATTTAATCATATTCATGGAGGAGCAGTATAGGGATGTGGTGATGCTGTGGGTTAAGCCGCTGAAGCCTCTGTGCTGTGAGGTGAGAAGACCAAGCAATCATAAGATCGAATGCACGCGACGGAGTGAGCTCCCGTTGCTTGTCCCAGCTCCCACCAACCTAGCGGTTTGAAAGCATGCAAAATGCAAAAATGCGAGTAGATAAATAGGTACCACCTTGGTAGCCCTAAGAGAACATGCCAGAACCTGACTAGATGTGGAAAATTGTGTCAATCCCTGGGGGTGGGGGGGTAGCTGAGTTTCCCGCTTTTCGTATGAACCCCTAAACTGAATGCACACCTTTCACAAAGGAGTAGCTGGGCATCTTGTCCAGTTGTACTGATCGATGAAATCATGAGCTCTTGAAGAGTCAGCATTTAAGTGCTGTGTAAATACCAGCCAATTTGCTGCCACTGGTTAAGTTTCGCATTAAAATACTCTGTGAGGTTTTGTAAGAATTCTTGGGAGCGTTGTTCAGAATCTTGAATTTCGCCTGTGTTTCACTCTTCTCAGAGTACCAGACTTGCTCACAGAGGGATGTCAACGAAAGACCAAAGGTTTTTGATCATTCATGCAACTGCTGATGGTAAGCGCTTTGCCTTCTGCCCTCACTCCCAACTGTTAATAATAATATCCAGCATGTTTTGTGTGTTTGAAATCCTTGTTTTGATTTTTTTTCTGTCATGATTCTGGTGTTATTCTTTCTCTCGCTCTCTTAATTATCCCAATCTGCTTGGGGTTTTGTTTTTCAGAGAAAATCCACTTCCAGCACACTGCTGATCTCATTACGCACCTCATTAGGGCAAAAGCTAATTACACTTTGCAGGTAAAGTATTATTTTTGTGATCACTTCTTTTCTCAACGTAACTGTTAACTCTGTTAACACACTATCTGTACTATTTACAAGATGATACATAATTTTATACAGAGCGCTTCACTGTGAAATTGTTGATAATAAAATCTTGAGCAGGCCTTCTGTCTTGGGGGGGGCGGGTCAAAGGAACTCAAGCCATACTTCGACAAACCAGCTGCTTTAAAGGGTTGACTCAACCTATCTAGTTATTTTTACCGGTTGTTTGCATTCACATAAAGAATCACTGGGTTTCCTACTTATGCTCATTTTAAAAATATTGCTGCTTGGGTAAATTATTTTCCTACAACACTTTTTAATGTTGTTCCCAAACAGGTAGGTTCTGACATTTCCGCGCCAGCATTTTAAATCAGTATCAAAATAATTCCTGCATGTCATATGCAAACTTAGCAGCTTGGTTCCTGTGTTGTGAGCACTGGGTTGACACCCCCAATAGAGGAAAAATAGTGAGAGATTTATTAGGGGGATTGCCTGTTGTTATGAGTTGTCAAGGTGCTCCTGACTTATGGCAAACTATGCATTAAGGAAGGCCATTCCATTAATAGGCTGCTCAGGTCTTGCAAACGAAAGGCTGTTGCTTTTATTGAGTCGATCAGTCTCATGTGCAGTGTTCCTCATTTCCTACTGCCTTCCACTTTTCCTAGCCGTATTCTCTTTTTCCCAGTGAGTCTTGTTTCCTTCCAATAGGTTTGGAATGCAATAGCCTCAGTTTAGTTGTTTAACTTTGGTTGCCAGTTCAGAATATCTAGAACCTACCTATTTATCTTTCTGGTGATCCAGGATATCCTACAGCTGTCCTCCAACAGCACATTTTGAATTAATAAAGGGCTTCCTCCCCCCATCTTCTTTCATTGTTGTCTAAACATTGGTTTTAGATCTGGTACTGCAATTGAGGCTTGATTGGGTGAGAGCTCCATTTGGGGTGGGATCCAGGACCTGCCTTTGGTAAGAGAAGGATTCTGCTTACAGAAGTTCTTTCTGCCCATCCTCACATTTTGTTGTTGTTTAGTCGTTAAGTCATGCCCATGACCCCATGGACTAGAGCAGTGGTCCCCAACCTTGGACCTCCAGATGTTTTTGGACTACAACTCCCAGAAGCCTTCACCACCACCTCTGCTGGCCCGGATTTCTGAGAGTTGAAGTCTAAGAACATCTGGAGGCCCAAGGTTGGGGATCACTGGACTAGAGCACGCCAGGCCCTCCTGTCTTCCACTGCCTCCCGGAGTTTGGTCAAATTCATATTGGTCGCTTCGATGACCCTGTCCAACCATCTCGTCCTCTGTCGCGCTTCAATGACCCTGTCCATCCATCTCATCCTCTGTCGTCCCCTTCTTTTGCCTTCACACTTTCCCAACATCAGCATCTTTTCCAGGGAGTCTTCTCTTCTCATTTCAGTTCAATACCTGATGCTCATAACAGTTATTATTCTTTTGCAGATCTACCCCGATGAAGGGCATTACTTCAACAGCCCAGCCCTGGATCAACACTTGTACAAGTCCATTGTCAATTTTTTTGTGGAATGTTTCAAGGAACAGGACAAAGCTCCAGTAGTTGCCACAAAAGAAGATGAGGATGAAGATTAGCCCTCCAAGCTTGTGCTGATAAACACAAGGTGGTTTATAATGATAATATGCAAGTGAGTCTCTCTGTTTTTCCCCCCTTGGAGAAAGGAGTGTTAACTTGAGCATGTATTTAACAAGACTGAAAAAGCAAAAGCAGTCACCCCTGCTTGTACCGGATCGTGACTCCTTTCTTCCTGAATGGAAGAACATTTAAGCATGAAGAACTCAGCAGAAACCGCTGTTTAAAATGAATGGGAAAAAAAGGGAAAGGATCTTATCACCTTTGTTGCCACAAAGTGATCTTGGGAGTAAGATTCTCAATCAGGAAGCTGGACTCAGAACGGAGATTCCCCACCCCCCAAGATGACTCTGAAAACTTCTTTGCATTAAAAGGGTTCAAGAAGTAGGAATGAAAACCCACCCTTTGTCTGTATTACAGTTCCCTTAGTTAGCGCTTCATTGTCTCAGATACAGCCACCAACCATGAAATCAAGATTATAGCACAATTATTTTTAAAAAGTACTGATTCATGTGTTGTTTGCCCGCCATCTTCTGCATTTCAAAGGACTGGCTGTTGCTACTACACTGCTCAGCTGAGCAAATGTTTCCTTTGTAGAAATCACTGCTGTAGTTACACTAACCCTTTTAATTAAACTTTGTGTACTGTATATGTATTTCTGTATATACTTTCTACCTGTCACTCCCTTTTAGTTTAGCCTTGTACTAATTTCTTCAGTGCTCCAGTGTCTTCTGGCTGGGGAGAAACTAAACGTGTAACATGCCACAGACTACATGCTAGAGTTTGTACGTGAGATCACTTTACTTCTAAAACACCTAGCAATTCTGTCTCTAGATTTCTGTAATGCACTGATGCCGACTAAGCTTTACAGATCGAAATCATCCTGTATAAATGTCATACATGGACGCTTAGTAAAAAAAATCCCCATCACTGTAATTTGGGGGGGGAGTTGTAGAACAAGGAGAGTGCACAAGTAATTTGCCATTTCACAAAATTTGGAAACCCGCCAGTCTGAATAGAATCTAAAGAACCAAAGCTTTCCTGTAAGGTAGAAAGTTTCTAGCCCTCATTTAGTACAGAGAAATGTGCGAGGTGACTCCTAAGGATCAGGTTTTCTTGATACTGGAGTATTTGAGGACAGGACTTCCTGCACCTTGGATAGTCTTCTTTCTCAGATACATGGTGTTCCCAGTTTAATCGAATTCCTCTTTCCTTAACCTTCTGCAACTCCAAGTAGCCTCTTGTCAATGATCGCAGTTCTAAATCTGTGAGTCTCACAGCCATGTATGTATTTTCACCATTGATAACCTGCCAATTTTTTTTGTATTATACATTACGGTGATGGTGAAAATCTAGGTTTGGAGGAGGGAGCTGCTTTCCTTTTTTTTTGCCATGGAATTTTCAACACACATGGTCCTTTCTCCAGAGTCCTGGAAGAAAGACCAAAAATACTGCAAAAACTGTCCCCCAAATATTTGGAATTCCTTGCACTTTCCCCCCACCCCAGTGCTGTTCCCTGTAAATTATTCTGACCAAATGTACAGCTAGTACGAATACTGTATAATTCATTTTGTTGTATATAAAAGGAATGTAAGTCTATGATTTGTCAAATCTTCCCACCCAAACCCGGTATTATTACGTCATGTGTTCAGCGTGCATGCAATAACACTTGTTTGCTTATTAAGACTCCTTAGAGGTACTCATTCAGACGATATCAATTGTGCGCTCCTTTTCCTGATTGTTTTTGACAGCTTGAATGTCAGTGCAGGTTTCTACATTTGTACATTGTGCTGTTGGAAAAATGCCTATGCCAGACAGCAACGAACATAGATAACTTGCAAAATGTTGTCCATCCATGTTTGGTAATGTTCCTTTTTTTAATGGATTACAAGTCCTCGATGGCCATGCTGGCTGGGGGATTCTGTAAGAGGAACATTTTGAAGTTCTGTTCTTCATCGTAATCTACATTTGTTTTTACATCCAATTTGTCAGCTGTTGGTGGTAATTAGATCATCCTGGGAGATACGCCAGTAAACCAAACGGAAAAAAGGGGGTGGGTGGGACATCTCATTCCATATGGTTTTCTTTCTTTCCTAACTTAAACTGTGCGTCGGAAATCATGTGAACAGGGATTGCGGGATAACGTGGCTCCCTTCGTCCAAATGCCAAATAGACCACATGAATGCTACATATCCATCATCTTTTGGGCTGGTGTGCCTAAACCGAACTCGATCCAGAGGAATGGATAGCCTGTTCTGTTTGTAAACTTTTGTAGAAGGGAAGCCCCAGAGTGACATAGCAGTGTTCATTCATCCATAAAAATAAAGCATTATTTTACCATCCATGTTTCTGTGTCCAATTTCTGTTAAATCATATGTAACTTCTTTTTTTTTCCCTAGAAGGCACAGAAACCAACTCTTTGCTACTAAATGTAGAAATGTTGGCCAGGCTGCAGGAATGGTTCTAACTCCTGGAAGATGCCTCTGTCAAATTGAGGGGCTGGGGGCGGCGGGGGGGGCTCGTCCCCGTTTTCTGAAAGCCATCATGGTGCTGGATACAGGGCCAGACTGGAGTGCAACAGACTGGGTTCAGATCCTTAACCAACCATTGAAACTCACTCCTTGAATATGTCACAGGTCTCAAAAAAACCCTATTGAGGTCACCATAAGTTGGAAGTGACTTGACAGCACATGATACACACACACACAGAGTGCACTCAGTTTAACAGGGTCCCCTGCCTTCAAAAGCTAATGTTTACAGCAGTAATTCCCAAACTTCAATAAATGAGGTGTTCTTGGACTGCAATTCCCAGTAGCCTTCACCACCAGCTGTGCCGGTGAGGGTTTCTGGGAGTTGTAGTCCAAGAACAGTTAAGGGCCCAAGGCTCAGGACCCCTGGTTTAGAGCAGTGGTTCTTAACCTTTGTTACTCGGATGCTTTTGAACTGCAACTCCCAGAAACCCCAGTCAGGACAGCTGGTGGTGAAGGCTTCTGGGAGTTGCAGTCCAAGAACAGCAAGAGGCCCAAGGTTCGGGACCCCTGGTTTAGAGCACAGAGGGGCTGCCATGGGAAGTGGCATAGCACGGAAAAGTTATTTTAGAACTGAGTACCCAGAGCGTCCTAGACCTGTGACAGCCATCGAGAGAAGCCCATCCTTCTGGTCCAGTTGCACCTACCTAGAGCTGGAGTTGAACCCATGGCCTTGCTGGTGAGAGGAGGTCTGAAAACACACAACTGCACTCGCCTGAACAGGATTACATCCTTCCCAGCGATCCAAAATCCTGATAAGCTTCCAGATCACACTCAGCTGTGTAATGGCACCCACACAAAAGCCGTTATAGCTCCTTTTCAGTCCTTCCCCATCAACACAGGCACATCAGGAGGCGGGACTTCACTCCCAACATCACCATTTTTATTGGGCATTTAGCTTTCATGAATTGTACCTACTTCCTCTGAGCAAGGGAGCTGCCAACTAAGGAAGTTCCTGTGCAATAAAACCTGTTAGTTTTTTTTTAAAAAAAGGTGTCATGGAACTCTTGTTGGTTTTGCTGCAGCCGGCCGACAGAGCAACCAAACCTCCCCCATTTGACTGGAAACGAACTGGAATGCATGTCCACCGCTTGCCAGCTGTATTCAAAAAAGTAGACTGGGGGCTGGCCACTAAATGCCTTGGACCGTTGGCTGGCTTGGGAGTCCCAGAACAGGTTAATACATGATAACGGTGGTTCTCAATCTTGGGTAATCCAGGAGGTCTTGGACTCCAATTCCCAGAAGCCTTCACTGCCAGCTGTGGAATTGGAACTGCACTCCAAGAACACCTGGGTTACCCAAGGTTGGTAACCACTGCACCATAACCATAGAGGTAAGACCACCGAGGGGGGATTTGAACTGGAATCTCCCGAATCCTAGTCCAACTCTGTATCCACTATGCACTGTCTCAATATACCTCCAGAATTCTCAGAACTCTGAAATCCCATCGTCATCAGCAATTAGGAACAGTTTCAAAGGAGACTGTCGCTTGCCTATAAAAACAAACACCAGGCATATGAGTTAGTGTTTTCTGTCTTTATCTGGACTGTGTGCATTGGATATGCTTAAATAGGTTTTGTTTTGAACTACCTACAAGGATCTATTGGAAATCTCTCCTAAATTCTCCTTTTTCTTCTAGAAAATATATCTAATCATCATCATTCGCTGCCAAGTCAATTCCGACTTATGGTGGCCCTTTTCAAATTTTTCCAGGAAGAGAGTCCTCAGAAGCAGTTCACCATTCCTTTCTTCTGGGGGCATCCCGGGACTGTGCAGCTTGCCCAAGGCCACCCAGGTTGGCTGTACTTGCAGGAAACACAGTGTGGAACTGAATTCCCAAGCTCTTTCTTCATAGCCAGATACCTAAACCATCAAGCCAACTAGAAAATATACCTAGCTATGATTTATTTGTATTTCTGGTCCCATTACTTAATCTATTCAATGGCATTTCCAAAGCCTAGAGCTTTGAAAACATTATCTTTTTAACTTTTTTCATTAGGGGAATCTAGGTCAAAATTATTTTTCCCAACTTTGTCTGAGACATAAGGCTTAATAATTTTTTAAGGCTTTCCCCCCTCCCCAGAGGTAACATTTTAGCCTATCGCATGGTATTCCTTGGATTCTAGATCAAATCAAGCCATAACATTTCCTAGAAGCAAAAAACAGCTAAAGCGAGATTGTTGTACTTTGGGTACATTATCAGAAGACAAAATTTATTGGAAAAGATAATGCTGACAATTCTTTCTTCCTTTTTTAAACGTTTTATCTCACCCAACTAGTAGCAAAGCTTCTACTCTGGGCGGAAGACACAATAAAACATGACAATAATAGAAAAGCAATAAAAAACATCAAAAGAAAAAGATGTTGGAGAAGAATAATGTTGGAACAGGGAAAGAGGAAAACTAAAGAGGTGGACTGACTCAATAAAGAAAACCACAGCCTTGTGTTTGCAAGACCTGAGCAGATCTGTTGAAAACAGTGCCTTTTGGGGGTCATAAAGGTCGACATAAGTTGGGAGCAACTTGACAGCATAGTAACAAAAATGGCATCTGATGAAGATAAGGCCATGTCCTGCAACTGATACCTTATCAAATGTGTACCATTGACGCGGTTGACCGATTTCTGCCGAGCGGTGCTGTTCAATAATTCAAGTAATATTTGTGGCATTTTGCTCTGAGAAGTCCTAGCAGCTGGGGTGCGTTTGAGTATTTATGAAGCCAGATAAATTATGCATCATCCACGGCACTGAGCCCAGTGTGACACTCATTAGTGCCAGAGTTCTGGCCACCAAAAAAAACCACACACACACAAACAAACTCCCATTCATTTAATTGTGCTCTGAGTGACTCGTCAGGAATGACTTGCGTCTACTGCTGGACTTAATCAACCTTGCCGGAAGGCTTCAATTTCAGATGATGGGATCCGACAGAGGTTTTCAATGGCAGCTGCATAGCTTGTTACAAAAGAATGGTAAGGAATGTTTTCAACCCACTTCTTGCCATTCTACTGCTCATTCGTGACATTTGGTTGTCTTCCATTCCACAGACCATGAGTAGACGATTTACTCCGGTCATGCCGTCTCCTATAAAAGTCTCTTCAATCACAGTTTTAGGTGATGCACATGGGGTGGGGGTGATGACCAACATGATTGACTCTTAAGTAGAGGTGGGCACGAAACGCCAGTTCATTTTTCAGCTGAACAGGTATTTGGCATTTCCCAGCCCCGCCTCCTCCCGTGGGCACCCACTCAGAGACATCGCCCGATTTCCCAGCCCCGCCTCCTCCCGTGGGCACTCATTCAGAGACATCGCCCAAGAGGAGGCAGGGCAGGGAAGCCGGGGCGCTGGCTCTAAGTGGGCAGCTGCCAAAGGAGGCGAGGCTGTGAAGCACTGAACACCTCTTTGGCCAAAAAAACCAAACTGGCACGAACTGCTGAACCAGGGGTTCGCGCCCATCTCTACTCTAAAGAGTAATTCTTACATGCAGAATGCAAACAACTGGTAAACACTGATCTGTTTAGTGCTGGGATTTATCCTTCAAAGAATATCAAACAAGCAGCCACCTCCTTAGCAGCTGTTGATTTGTGGGGGGAAGAGTTGTGAGTCTTGACTCCAGAGATCACAAGAAATGGTTTGTAAGATGCCCTCAAGTAGCTGTTGAGGAGAACTTGAGGGTGGAGCAGTTCCATGGAAGGAATTTCCTAGCCCTTGAGTGTTGGGTTCACATAGCCATACTTTTCATGTGGCAGCACGGATGGCAGTAGCGCTAGGAGAATGAACTAGCTGTTTACTCTTTTAGTAAGAGGGAGAAAATTCAATGAAAAAAAAAGGTCAGAGTGTATGGATGAGAGATTAATTTTTTGCCTCCATGTTCTGGGGGAGAAAGTGGAGGAAATTCACACCCAAAGGGCTCAGCTACACATTACACTTCTAGGAGGGCTCATGGACCATGTTCTGGGGGAGAAAGTGGAGGAAATGCAAACCCAAAGGGCTACACATTACACTTCTAGGAGAGCTCATGGGCAGAGCAGGGCTGTAATTTTTATGCAGGGAAAGGAGAAAATGTCCATCACAACCACCGCACATGGGGAGGTTTAAGCCTTCCCTTCCTATTTTTTTTTAAGGGTGGTATCACCCAAATCCTTGCTTTTCTTGTTTCTTTGGAGGCAGGGGTGTAGAGTACTGGGCTTTGGTGTAGCTGACAAGTGGGATCCTGTACTTATGCAAAGCAATGAGTGCCTGATATAAACATAAAGGACTGGATGTCAACACGAAGCTTGAATCACTAAATATATAACAAGCCTATGACATTTCCAGCAGGAACATGGGCCACCTAGTCACCGGCTTCCTAACTGTTGTCCAAGTATATTTCTGTTTAAATGCTAGTTATTATTTCTAAATGTGTACCTGTCTCTGTATATTAGCATATGCATATGGGTACATCTATTTATCTTTTTCTTTTGCCAGTGCAAATGACCACTTTACTTGCCTTCTCCTGAAGGGAGAAACTTTCTGCATCTCAAAATATGGGTCATATCAGATATTAAGGGGGATCCCTCTTCTCTTCCTCTGATTTACCTGCTTTTCCTTCTGACAATGAGGTTTCATCAGAGACGTGTGTCTCAGCAAGCAGACTTGTACAATGAAGGCTATGTTTACCTTCTAAATACATGCTCTACAAGTAATGCAGTATGACCCTCTGTGGCAACTACTCATTTTTTATAAACAGGACAGTGAATCAAAGCATGTCTGTCTAGCAGAAGTTTCATCTTCACATTACAATTGTTGCAAGCTGCACAAGACACCTTGGAAG